GCCCTGTGACCCAAGGACAATCGTGGCAATAAGTCGCAGTGGTCGACGTGTTTACAGTCCCTCTGGCGATGCTGAAACTGCAGTCCACTTTAGCCTGGACGAGAATAACTCTGGGGATCAAGGCCATGTGAAATTAGATTGTCTATTCATGTAATTGAGGAAAAATTCAACGAATACTCCTTCATCCCTCCAGCAAAATAGAGTGAATACATCTAATGCATATGATCTACTCGTAGTCTCGAAATCCCACTTATAGACGAAAAATAAATAGCGTGGTCGATCATTATAGCAAATACCACTTTGTCTCACCAACAATCCTCGCATAGAATGCGATATGGAAAAAGGCCTACTCTTCCTTGAAATTCACATCTGCTCTCGGAGTCAAGGATATTCATGGCAGTCTGGTGTAGTGAGTAACGTGTCGAGCTTGTAGGCTGCGCCAGGAGAACCGGGTTCGAGTCCCGTTTGGGGTGCTGATGAGACGAGTTAGGCGAAGTCGAAGTGGGTACCCATTGCTCGGTCTGATGCCGGGAATTATGCAAACCACTATGGCAGAGAAGTTCAGACAAGGTGAGTTCAAATAAGTCGCCCTGACAACAAGACCGAGTTGCGGAAATGAGGTCAAGCCACTTGTGTAAACTGAAAGGAGACTGCGGCCATACCGGGGCCACACCATCTTGGTCTGTATATCCTCGAAAAAGTTGCGCCGGTTTTTCGCATGATCGAGGATCGGACATGGTCAAGCCATGGTGATGAGTTCTCCTTCTTAAACTAGCATCCACTGACCGCTTTGCAATATTTGGGTTTGTCATGCCGCCAAAAAGCAGCGCCTCCCTTCCAAAGGGCTCCAGGGTCTGAAATCTGAGTCAAACAGTTAAAGCGAAATGTATGCGAAGAAAAGTTGAGTTTCGACGAATATCTTATTTCATAATTGTTGAGCTTACTTACAGTTCGAGTGAAAGGATTGGGTGAAGAGATTGAAAGGTCAGTTCCACCAGAAGACGACGACGGATTCCTTTTAACCAGCTATCGATTGGCTTTACTGGAAGATTCATGTTGACGCTGTTTCCCAGGTAATCTCCTTCCAATCCGGTGAAAAGGTACTAATCTTTCGTCCGTCATATGACGAACATCATCAGAGCAAGGTTAAAACCCCTTTCCAAGACGAGCATAACATCAGCATCTATGGGTATACTAGATAAATTAATGACTCTATTTTTGCTAGAAAAAATAGTAATAAGTTTAACAGCATCCTTATTGTTTCGACGATTCCTTTGGCTGATGTTTATGCTAAACTTTTGCATTTCCAAATGAGCAAAATCATTTTATGGAGATACTAGTTGAGTTAATTAACACAACGGGCAAGAAGAGGCTAAGAATAGTATAGAAAGAGATGTGATTCCTCATTTTGATGAAGTAATTATTCCAAAGAAATCTTATGACTTGAATAACGTTTCTAGATATTTGCACCAAAAGGAGCTGTTTGTTTTAAAAGCAGATAAAGGTGGTGCAATGGTCATCATGGATAGGTTAAGTTATATAGAAAAAATGATGGTTCATTTAATGAATGGGAAACTTATAAACTTTTAGTGAAGAATCCACTTAGGGAATTGCTTAACGTTTGTGTAAGCAGATGAGAAATTTGGAAGTGGAAAATGAATTCACTTCTTCAGAGGGATGCTAGGGCACCTTCGGCTTACGGCTTTCCAAAAGTACACAAGGATGGAGTTCCTTTAAGATTGATTGTTGTTAACAAGGGAACAGTGATGCATAGGATCTCACGTTTCTTATGTAGACAACAAAAGAAATTGGCTGAGTATTGAAAATATTCAGTGAATAATTCATATGAATTCGCTAGATTAATAGATCAACAGAGTATTAAAGAGTCTTGATGTGGTATCAATGCATACTAACATCCCAGTTCAGAAAGCTATTGAAGCACTAACACTCAGCCCAGATGAGCACCCAAAATTATTGGCGAAGCAGATCTGAGCTAAAGCTCAATCGTAAGGCTTCTTAATCTATCCATGAGCAGCGCATACTTTACTTTTAATAATAAGGTTTATGAACAGGAGCAAGGTCTAGCAATGGGATCTTGCTTGGCTCCCATTTTGGCTTTTAATTACATGTCAAGAATGGAGGAACACTTCATGGAAGAGGTAAGATTGACACCCAAACTGTTAGTTAGATGCAGTTGAATGACTACTTTGCCATATGGCAGCATGGCAAGGACAGTTTAGATAATTTCTTGTTTTTAATTGACCAGATTGATTGCAATAAAAAGTTGACAATGAAGATGGAGGTCAACAATATTTTACCCTTTTTAGATGTTGTAATGATCAGAGCAGGTGATAAGTTAAGCAG